CGGAGGCCCCCCAGCCACTGCCCCCACCCCGCCCGGCTTTTGCACGTGACCACAGGGCTCCCAGTGTCAAACATGGCCCGCCTCCCAGTTGCTCCTCCCACCCCCGCCAGGCTTCCCTCCGGCACTCATCTGGAAATTTAGAGAATACTGGATATTGCGTATGTCTCGTATTTTCTGAATTTTTCTACCAGACACAGGGCACAAATACCAGACTGCCTGGTAGAAAACTGGACACCTGGCAACCCTACTTGAGGTCTGTTTCTTACCTGGTACCAGTGGGTGCCATTAGGACAGGATCCCCTTCTCACAGCCTAGTATGACACTATTTCAGTGTCATTTAGCTGGAATATGAGTATGTGACTCCAGGCTTTACAGATAATTGCTGCTGCTCTTGAGTCTGGCTGCAGAAGAAGGAGTTTAGGCCAACTAAATAGCTACAGGCCTTCCAATAGGGCTACAGAAAAACCATGTTGTTACAGATGACCTTTCCAGGACCCACAAGCACAGACAAAGCAAAGTAAATGCACTGCAAAAGGGCTTGAACCCTCAACCAAAGTCAGATGCCTAATCCTTTAGGACATACAGTCTTAGCTTTCTTTGAAAATGAACTTCTTAAAATGTGTAAGTAGGGAGTAGTCTAGCTAGTCCACCAGGTTTTATTATTTTCCTTGTTTGGGGGTTTAGAAATCATGTCTGAGCTAGTGAACTATTCCTATTGTGTGTAACTAAGGATTGCAGCCCAGGGATTTTCCTGAGTCTATGTCACTTCATAGCTATCTACCACCTAGGCTATCTCTATACTGCACCTCTCTTCTGAAAAAGCTTATGCAAATGAAGCATGGATTAGCATATTACCATGCCTCATTTGAATAATTAATTAGGGGTTTTGCTCAAGAGCAGTGGTCCCCAACCTTTCAGGGCTGCCGGGCACCTGGGGGCGGGGCCACTCATGCACCGGGCACCTGGGAGTGGGCTGCACACGTGCCTGGGGACGGGGCTGCTCATGAGCCCAGGTGTGGCGCCGCGCAT